GCTCCTATTAGTAGAAAATCTCTACCAAAATTCTTTTTTGCTTTTATCAAATGTGAGAAAAAAATTAAAAACATCTCAATAAAAAACTTTTTTTCCTATTTTGAGGTTTTGAAATCAAATTTTAGGATAGTCCAGTTAAACCTGATACACCCTGTATTTAAATACATTAAACTAATTTGCAAATACAGTGCGATTAAAAACTCTAACCTCCAACACCATCTTTTAAACGGTCTGATAAAGAGCAACCAATTTTGGGGTGCTTCTATGAGAACAGAATAATACTTCTTCACAAAAAAAGTATTCTTGTTTTGAATACACCAATTTCTTCAGAAATTTGAATGTATTATTTGATCAAAGGGAGAGGTAGCTCAGGATATCTGGAAGCTGGTTTGCTTCACGAAATAGCGGTCCTATAATGTGATTTTCTGATATTCCTGCTCATACACTAGGTTTTTTTGGGCAAATTTGGCACGATTTTCACAAAAAATATAATGATTTGCATCGCCCCATTTTGCTTATTAATATTACCATTCAGAAAAAACATATTCAAGGAATATTTTGAATTTCGGGTAATTCTTCCTGTCATAAAATTTCACAAAAAACTCAATTCGTCAACTGAAGAATGGAAGTACCAAAGGAACTAAGCATCAAGTTAATTGTTTTAAGGAAATTTAAAAAAAGTTTACAAAAACTCGAAAATCAAATATTTTCTTTTAACATAGGAAAATCTGCTTGTTACTCTAGAAATAATAGAAAAGTTGCAAGTACCATCATATTTTCTCCAGTAAGAGGAATCAAGTATCATATCATTATTCGTGGAACTAAGTACAACTTGTCAATGGCACAGCGGTATTTAGGTTTAGATTTTAAAAAATTGTAAAATTTTTGACGGGTTTTCCAAATAGCCAATCATAGATGTGAGGTTTTTTTTATTTTCAGACTTTATTTTCTAGTGGTAGCTTTGTTAGCTTAGTTGCCTTCAACTGAGAAAGTGTCAAATCCTTTCTTTAATGCATTGGTTTCTTTCCAGACCGATACAGTAGAAAATGTTTCCGTATGCTTTATTAAGCTTGGGCCACACTGATCCAGCCGGAATCGGCTTCGGAACGGTATGTTCACACAGTAGCAGAATTCCCGGATGCCGATGGTTGAACCTGAATTCTCTTGTGGAAAAGCATAGAAAAAAAAAACGTTTTAGTTTCAATAGTTTAGTATTTTTTTCAGTCGATTTCGTTTATATGTAGACTAATTTGCATTATATCGGAAATATTCCGATCCTCCTAGAGGATTCCGAAACGGCTATCCGCCTGCCGTCCGGTCAAGTGTGTTTTTTTTTTTTTTGCTTTTCCGTTCATTGTGGCCCAAGCTTTATATTGCATTTATCACATCGGTCCTAATATGTGCTGCCTTACTAATAGTATTTATTCAATGACATTAACAATAAATAGAACGCAAAACAAAATAACAAACAGAACACGTGCTAACGTATTTGATACTTATGTTATTTCTTGTGAAAAACTACATACAAATAGTGACATCTTTTATTATTCGCGAGAAATTTATTCCTTGGCGTAGATGCTTAGAAAGTTTTAAAAGACACTACCATTCGTACTTAGTTCGTTTCTTGCGAAGTATAAAAAAAACCGGAATTTTGGTACTTAGTTCCTTCATACGCCCACTCTTCAATTGGTTGTTCCATATCAAGCCGTTCAGGTGGGGGCCTTTACGATTAGATATTCATCGAAAAGTATAAATTAATATAAAGTCATGACAGTATATTTTATTAATAATATGCATTTGTTAAAATTTTTAACCTCTCGTCGGATGCTGTGTCTAGGGTTGATGTTTTAAACTTGGCAATATTTTTTATATTTTCATCATTTCAAGAGTGACTGGTTAATACTTTGAAATTAAATTATTAAAGTAAAAATTAAGTAATTTAAATGTGGTTGGTTCCCAATTTGTCAACAAAACTTGATTAAGTCACCAATTGCTTTTTTAAATATCCTATTCTTAAAATATACATACGTAGGAAAAAGGTTGTAATACATGAAATATTTGTTTTTTTTTTTAATTAAAAAAAGTATTCCAATATGAAAATCTATTTCTAGTGTTACATTTTTTATTTTAGTTTATGGGTGACATCGAGTCGAGTACCTCGAAAAATTTTTTAAATGGAAATTTTGAAAGAATAATGCACGCGCAAACTGGAAAAATAACAAAAAAATTAAATATTTTACGCCACCCATTCGATTTATATAACTAATAGCGGTGGTGTTATTGATTCTCATATTTTTCATCATCAGTTTGAGAAGGGAACTATTTTACAAGATGTTTATCTTTGGATATATCTTTTAGTGTAAACCACAGCAGAAACGAAATTAAAAAAAAAGTTTCCAAACTAATTATTGTAAGATGAGGCATTCAATTTTGTAATAAGTTCCATCTAAAATCCGTGATATAATTTATTATAAGTTTAAACTAAAGCACTTTTTAAATTGAGCACATACAATTCCATTATTTTATTAATAAATAAAACGTTATGTGATACTTTATTTTTATATATCTAACATTATAAATAATGCAGTAGCCCAATCCAGAAGCAAATATAAATTATTGCACCATACTTGTAAATACCGCTAAAAAACGTGCAAATTCTAACAGTATTCTGTATATAGACATCCCTTCGTAATTACAAACTGGTAACAAATAATTCAAATAAATAACGTAGCAAATTATCTCAGTTTATATTTAAAAAAATAAAAATGCGTTTAGTTAGTTTAAGTACACTAATAATGTTATAAAGGCTGCCATTTATTTATTCTCAGTTAATAGCTATTTGATGGGCTAGTCGATAATGATTTTTAACCACGCAGAACAAAATAAACGTCACTTCTGTCGTAAACGCATTTATTCAAATTTCAAGCTGCTAAAAATTAAAAATTCTGTGACAATGAATAGTATGCAAATTGCTACGTAGTTTGCACTGCCAAAAATATTTAAAGAATTATGATTTTTTCGCCAAAGTTATTTTTAATAGCATCAAGCAGTTTTCCTGTTTTTAGTTTTTAAATTACACACAATAATGTGGTTTCTGATAACACCGATAACGAATTTCATATACTTAAAATTGTTCCAAAAAATATGTTGGTTTACTCTTATCTCCGATAAAATAAGCTCAGATTTATAATAATGAAAAATCACATAAAATAAAATAAGGTCTAATTAAAGCTGACAAAATATTATTAATATTAGTAGAACCGAGGATGTTTCTTAGTTTTCATATCTAAATGAGAACTGAACGAATTCCAAAATTTTACGTGTGTTCCAAATACAAAATATATTTTTTTAAACGTATTCATTACTTAAATCAATGATTTAGGCCCGGTTAAAAAAGCTATGTAGATTCGGTGAGTGTTTATTAAAGTGTAGTAAAATTTAAATTCCTAGGTATACAGGGTGGGGCAATAGTGCGTCCGACGTCGATATCTCGAGTTCTATGCAATGAAGTAGAGGGGAAGACCCTATACTTCATTGGTTCTATGATAGCTAGAAACTTGATTTAATAACATAAGTAACCTAGACAAAAAAAGTCTATAACCGGAAATTGTTTTTGAATATACAGGGTGGGCCAAGACGATTCTACAGAGTCTAGTAACATTTTTTTAAATGAAATGCCATCTGTATCAGAACATTTTTTGAAAACTCTTTGCTACCTTCTTTCGCTCCTGAATTATTATTGACTTTCTCCCAACCATTTGAATGTAATTTTTTTTTTGTTGAAATTATACCATTTACACGTGTGTATTAAAAATATCACAACAATCACAATTATCGATTTTAAGAAAAAATATGTTAGTACCAGTTAAGAGACATCTGTGTGATGACACTCAGTCATTTTCATTTCCTAAAAGTATACAGGGTAGCCAAAAAGGATTTTTAAATTTACAACTTTTTGAACTGAATTTTCTCAATTTTTTTCAAATGAAACACCCTGTGTATTTTTGGACGATGTGATGTAGGATTGAAAAGCGAACATTTTTTGTACATACATTTCTATGGCTATTTGTGACCATTTTCAACTTATTGAACAATAACTGCAAAATTCAACAATAAAAAATTAAAATGAGGGATTTTGTTCAAATAAGTCAAGAGAAGGTATTATAATAAGCGTGATACCCATAAAAAGATCACACCAATAACAATCTAAAATTTTAAGGAAAGGATAATAAATGCTTTTAGAAGTATCACTCCAGCAATTTTATGAACAGTAGAAACCTCATTCCAAAGACGCATAGAACTGTGTGTCAATCAAAATGGGCAACATGTGGAGCACTTTTTATAAAATCTTCTCTTGAATTACAAAAAAAATCATATTTAATTTTTATTGCCAAATTTTGCAGTTATTATTCAATAAATCGAAAATGGTTACAAATAGCTATACGGATGTATGTACAAAAAATGCTCGTTTTTCAATTCTACATCACAATTTGAAAAAATTGAGAACATTCAGTTCAAATAGTTGTAAATTTAAAAATTATTTTTGGCTACCCTGTATACTTTTAGGAAGTGAAAATGGCTGAGTGTCATCACACACGTCTCATAACTGGTAATAACATATTTTTTCTTAAAATCGATAATTGTGGCTGTAGTGATTTTTTTAACATACACGTATAAATGGTATAATTTCAACAACAAAATCATTACATCCAAATAAACTGGAAGAAAGTCAATAAAAATACAGGAGTGGAAGGAGGCCACAAAGACGTTTCAAAAAATTTTTTGATATACATAGCATTTCATTTAAAAAATGTTACTTGACCCTGTAAAATCGTTTTGGCTCACCCTGTATATTCGAAAATAATTTCCAGTTATAGACTTTTTTGTCTAGTTTATTTATGTTTTTAAATCAAGTCGAGGTCTATGATAGCTAGATATCATAGACCTCGACATATCGAAGTTAGACGCACTATTGCCCCACCCTGTATTGTACGTATTGTGGCTTCGTGGTCGAGTGGTAAGGACACTTGCCACTCACCTTGGAGTACCGGGTTCGATCCCCGGGGACGAAGCTAGGATTTTTTCTAAACCAGAAATTAATCCTAGCATACTTGGCCATTGGGTGCGAGTCTATTGTCTCTAAATGTGTAACCCTCTCCCGCACAAGGTACATTACGATACCTTCTAGGCCACAGGGGGTTGTGTTACCCGTGATGTTTAATTTAATTTAATTTAAAATATACTCGTAAGTGAAATTTCAGCACTTTTTCGATTTCTGAGTTCAACGCTAATGAATTTTTACCTTTAAAACCGGTTTGCTCAAAAACGGTATGGTTTATCGACAATTACAAAGTGTAAATACTTTGATTGATTTCTATAAAAAATTTTAATGCAAACTCCAAAATTATTAAATAGGTACAAAAAACATGAGACTGAATTTATCTCGGAATTTATATCTTCCCATAATCGGTCACATTCTCTAAATATGTCAAATGTTAATAAGATCCAAGATAAGATCTGTTGACCGATTTTGAGGTTATTCCGGAAAAACGTTATCCGGTCTGGACGCCTGTAGCTAAGTTAGCAAATATTTTCGGGCCCATGTTATGAGAACTTTTTAGATTATTTTCAACCTTCAACACCTCGGATGTAAAGAAAACTCGGAAGAAAAATGTGCTAGAATAACGAATGCACAGTAGTATTTGAAAACAAAATTTGTCTACGTTTTCATTGACTAAACACAAAAATGCATTCATAGCTAAAAGCGTCAAGTGATGAATTAATAAATAGATGCATAATTTTAATTAATTAAAAGTATTTATGTCAAGTATGACATCACTCATATAATGTTAGGGTGTTTTAGGAAATTAACTAGCGTTTCCTTCATATTTTAAAAAGCAATTGGTGATACCATTTGTGGCCCCCCTGTATGACACTATACAAAGGCACATAATCAGAATTAAATTTGTGATGAAAGGTAGTAGCAGGTCTTAATATTCTTAATAAGGTATGTTTTATAATATAAAAGTAGAAACATAAATTGAGGTAAATAATTATATTAGTTGTTGCATTGTACTTAATTAATAATTATTTAAACACTGACATTGGCAGCTACACAAGACTAGGATATTATTAAAAGGCAAATAGGTTTACACCCTATAAGAGTTTTAGTAGTCAATTAACCTGCATAAATAAAATTATGTACCTACTTTTTTGCAGAAGAGGCTATAGCAAAGAGATTCAACTGTCAAGTACATACGTAATCCAGAAACACACTGTATAGTATTTAAAAAGTAAATAAGTAATTCCTAAATAAACCAAATGAGTCAAAACTAAATATAAATATTTATCAACGCCATACATGATATATGAACATGTTTTTTGTCAGCCTCGTGTTCAACTAAATACGATTACTTAACTACTTTTTTTCATATAGGAATGTAAATTTGAAATACCTCAGGGCAATTTTCAGCTTTATTTTTATAAGATGTCGATATAAATATTCCACGCAATCACAAAATCATTATCCATTCACACTTACAATGTATAAGACTGTTTTCAGAGTTCAATATTATTTAAAATATTTGAAAAAGGAACAAAATAAAAACCAAACCCGGCAAGCAGGTAACCATAAGTGTGCAAGTTTAAATCTCATCCGAAATTCGCAACTGATGCATGGAACTCAAAAATGGAATTCTAAATTCAACACGTTCTATTTTTGTTTCACCACCAAACTACAATAATTACAAGACAGATATAATCACAGTAGTTCCTGTTTCAGAATTTCTAAATGCGGTACACACGTGACACTCCAGCACTAAATTAATAAACAAATGCACATCGAGAGGAAGTAAAGGAAGGATGCTTTGTAACAGATGAGGGCGAGAGTGTTGAAGACGCGCGCCAGCTGAACCTACCGGCGAAAAGTTTCCGCTCTCACTAACCTGCCTAACCTAAACGCCGTTTGACAGGAACCAGAGCCAGAGGCAGAGCGCAGTGCTGACGAAGAGACGGACAGAACCCCCGAGTTGCGCCCGCAACACAATAATATGAAATAAAACTATCCCATGCGACAATGCAAAAGTTTGGCACATAAATATGAGGCCTATCAGTGTTCTATGCTGAAACTAAGGAAACAAACACGCGGACTATTCATTCCTAATCCAAAAAACAGTGTGTACGCTGAGGTAAATATTAGACTGTGTTTTGTTTTGACTATCACAAAGGTGATGAACAAATATACGAGGAGCGACACATAATTAGGTACGTACATTTTATTATATTAATAACAGGGCAAAAAAGATTATTTATAAATCGATATGACAACATTATATATTTAAATAAGGAGCCGTAAAAGGGTAGTTTCATCGTCAGCCATGAAATGCATAATTTTCAAAAAATGTCTCCTTCAATGTTGAAAATGAAGTAAAAAACATTTACTAACAGTTAAAATGAAGGATTACAACAAATAGACATCAGGGCGAGCGTAATACCGACTTTACATTGTGTCGAACTCGACAAGAAAAGTAAAGCAACGGGTACTGAGGCTAATACATAGTTGTATGGGTAAAACCAGTCCAGCAAAAACACAGCAGTCTCGCTCAACTTCTAGCTGCTTGTATAGCAGCTTAAAACGCGAGGCTATGCAATATTAGGTGAGGATTGTGTAATAGATATATCACCTTCGGAGGGGATGTAAAGCAGTCTATTAAGACGCGTATAGATATGGCGAGCTGAGCACGAGCTGAGCTTGCAATTAGTGATGGGTAGTAGGAAAATTCCAGGAAAAAAATTTTTGCTATAAATGTTAAATCTAGCAATATTAAATGACATTTTAAGTAATACGTTAAGTTTGGCAACACTGTTACTCTTTTTGCACTTAAAACATACAATGAGCAAGTTCAGGCTTGCAATTTCTGTATGTGCTGTGGATGGCTAGTTTCCTCTCAATCTCACCAGATTCACTGAAGTTAGTAGGTGTTCACTGCTGCCTTATTATCTCTTGCGATTTGTTTAAGGAAATTATTTCTGTCCTGACTGTCTAAATTAAAAAAAGAAAATTATTTCAAGATTTTTATCGGGAATTTTTGGGTAAATTTTTCGGAAATATTTCCGGGAATTTGTCCAATGCTTCTTTCCCGAGAATCTGCCCATCAATACCTGTAACGAACATGAATCGTGATATTTGTACGGACTTGGTGTGCAGCTCGCTAGCGGTTCGCGAGTCGCTCAGCTCGTGATAGTCGTGATACATTTTCTGTCGGGAATATCTCCCAGAAATTGTTCCAAACTAGATCTTGGGGAAAACTTTTTTGCTAACAATGATAAAGCTGGCAATATTAAGTGACATTTTGGGTAATATGTCAAATCTGGCAACACTGTTACTATCTTTGCACTTCAAACACATGCAATGAACAAATTCAGACTTGCAACTTTCGTCTGTGCTGTGGATGGCTAGTTTTCCCCTGTCTCGCCCGACTGAGTGAAGTTAGTGGTTGCTGACTGCTGCTTTATTATCTTTTGCACCTTGTTTAAGGAAATTATTTTTGCCCTGAATCTCTCAATTAAAAAAAAATCTTATTTCAAGCGTTTTATCGGGAATATTTTGGTAAATTTTCGGAAATATTTCCTGGAATTTTCCCTTTGCATCGTTTCCGGTAATTTACCCATCGAGGATTTCAGGTTTTTTTTTTGTAAATTGGCTACAACTGAAGGACCACTACATAAAACTATCATAGTTGCGGTTTCCTCGTTGTCAGACTTTGTTTAGATGATTCCAAACTGAACGAAAGGCTAGATCACCTGTATTATAGTAAATTGACTCAAAACATTCGACGCTCATGGCATTTACAGAGAAGAAACCAGTACTTTAAGATATATCTCTAAGGACTCTCAGCATTGCGCTTAACACAAAATGGCGAGTTTTCATTTTCTAGTTCATCGCCTATTAAGCCTCTCCCTCAATAAGTTAAGGTTTGAAAAAAAAGGCACTGGTTAAGGATATTGCTGCGAGTAACAGATATTCTGTAAGCACAGTTGATAAAAAATTAGGAAATGTAAATTTAAAGACACTTCGAAATTCCAATCTTTCAGAATGAAAGAGAATATCGGAAATATTTATCAATTTCATACGATTCTCGATTCACCCCTGGTATCGGTACCATTTTTAAAGATATAGGTATGACAGTGGTTCATTCATCGGGAAATAAACTATAACAGCTTTTAGGCAATCCAGAGAACAAAATTGTAACAAACGAAAAGTCGGAGATTTACAAAATTTGCCGGAAGAACTGTAATCAAAAGTATGTTGGACAGACTAGACGATCAATTCAAACTGGATTCAAGTAGCATATGGCCCGTCTCAAATATGGTAGAACAGTCTAGTGTTACCCATCATGCGTTTGAGAACAACCATAAAATAGATATTAGCAATTTAAGATGAATTAAGAATGTAACAAATACTAGACAGCTGGATGCACTTGAAAGCTTGGATATCACAAAGTGTAGAAATAGTATGAATAGTGACAGAGAGCCAATCCCAAATAGTCCCTTCTATTGGTGTAAATAAAATACATTGTTAGTATAATGTTAGTTTTAATTATCTCCAGATGATGCCAACTTGGTTGGCGAGATTCGCGTCGAGTGCAGTACATGTTCTGGTGTTTTATGGAAAACCGCGTCAGTGTTCATAAAAATATATTAAAAGTGTGATACATATTTCTCAATTTAATGTGTCACAATTTTATAGAAAATTTTACACATGAAATGTTTTTTTGTAACAAGTTAGAAAACCAAAGGCTACATTTCGTCATAACAAAATTAGTTTAGATTAAATCACATGCCTGTGATCGAATGAAAATGATTTTCGAGAAATTATATGCTTCGAATTAAAAAGTTATCCGGAAAATCTCTTTAGAATTACCCCCATTTTCGAGGTTATCTGAAAAAAATTATATTTTTAAAAGTATTTTTTATAATTTCACTGCTAGATTCATAGTTTAAATAAATTAGGTAAAATCTTAGTACAGAAAAATCATGATTGAATAGTTCTCACGGCAAAAAAATATAGATCTAC